AATATCTGTTTTTTTTAGGTAATATATTCCTTGAGATTGGCGCCAACAGCCATAGCTATCTGGTCTACTTCTATAGGCAAACACTGTAAAAATTGTTCAGTCTTACTCTTGTGGGTAAAATCAGGCAGGTTATGTGGCTTGGATTTCTGTTACATACAGGTGGGCTTTCCGGTGTGGCACATTTGTCCTCAATTTGCTTTGTGTGGCTTAGAGAAAAAAGTGTTTTTCACTGGGGAACATGGGAGTTTGCTTTCTCTATCAAGGCTTCTGGAGAGACTGCTGCTGGAAAGGAGTTGGGTCGTCTTAGATTCAAGATTCTTTGAATAGTGCTAGCTGCTTTGCTGCTCCATTTGGAAAGATTATAAGATTCTGTGCTGACTGACTCTGATATTCATTACAGAACTTTCTGGGCAAACACAATCAGTGAGAGACAAAGGTTTAGCCATGTCATTTGAGTGGTATTAGAAAGACTTAAACAATGTTGTCTTTCAGTCACTATCTTTTGAGGGTTTTGTACAACTGTGGATAATTTTGGGATTCTTGTTGGGAGCCAGCCAGAGAATAGCCCCTGAGCAGATTAAAAAGGGCCAGAGGTTCTCCTGAAGTGTTTTTTATAATAAAGGTAGCTGTGTAATCATTTGGTTAACTTGTTATTCAGCCAGTGCAGAGCAGTCTTTGGCCTTAAATCCAGCTTAGCATGTTGATATGTTTCAGTTGCATAGTGCTACCAGTGAGATGACTCTTGCTTGACATATTCAGCCATTTGGAAACTTGGATGTTCAGAAACTTATTTTATGTTCAGCAGGAATGTTAGGGTATGCAGTCATTTGAAAAAATAAAATAGGTATTCAGAATTAGGAAAGAAAAGAATCTGGTCGACTTCTGGCAAGTGTTTTGGTATCTGCAGAGTATACACCTCTTGTCAGTATAAATAGGGAGTGCCTGTATAAACATTCTTGTTTCGCCTGTTCCACATAATAGTTTCTTGTATCATATTTCTTTTGACCTCACTATCTGAAACCAATTACAGGGGATCCATTTGGGCTGCATCTATTTTCATAAGAAGCCCAGGCAGCAGTGTTTTTCTCAGAGATGAATATCAACATCAAATATCCTTCTGAGTGCTTTGTTATTTATGTTTCAGAGAGATTTTGTAGCCTTCAGCTCTCAAGAATGTGTCACGCTGTGCTGTTTATACATTGACGATATTAATGGGCATAGATGTCATTTTTCATTTTAACGTCTCAAATGCAACAGGCTGATAGGTTAAACATTCCTGGTTTTAAAGGAGGGATATGAGTGACATCTGTTTCCTAAAAATACACATATATTTAATTTCTAAAAAACAGAGTAATAAGCTTACCATCTTTAGGTGACAGCTTTCACTTTATGAAAATGGTAAAACTTTAAAAATAATTTTGAATCACACTTAGATGAAACAGAAGGGTTTGGAATACAATATTAAAGGAAGTTATATCTCCTAGTAATATTGCCAACAAACAGCAAGTCTACTGCAATTTATCAACTTTAATAGTGTGAGTTATATGCAATTATTTTCATTTCTGTTCTGCTTGTGTTTTAGCTATGCCAAGGCTTCGTAGTAAATATTAAGAAGTACTGTTCCCAATAAATATTTTACTAGAAACACAGTGAGTTCTGGAAACCATATGCCCAAATTTTCCTTCCTATATAGCCATTACCTAAAGCATCATAATGATTTTCATTTATGTAATGAAAATAATTTCTAATCCTCAGTTCTTTTTATTGTTTTTGTCTACATTGGATTTTTTTAATAGTTTTACTAATTTAGATAATTAAGAAAAAGTTCCTACTAAATTTGAAACAAGTGCTTTTGGGAACTAGATACAGTTTTGAGTGCCCTAGAATCTGTTCTTTCTGCACTTTACTTATGGTTGGACTCAAATTTGATTTGTCAGATTTATAAGCATCTGTTATTTTGTCTTCATTACACTGTTTTTAGATCACGAGTTATTGTCAGAGAAATTTATAAATGGTACATGGGATGGGTGTTTACTGGAAGTGTAGATGTTAAACTACGAATTTTGTAAGATACTTTCAATTTGTCAATTTGTTTTGCAAAGATTTAATAGCAGCAAATTAATTTTTAGAACTAATATTTTATAGTCTCATGATCTTTACTTATTAATAATGTCAGTAATAATGCTTTGAAATTAACAGTGTTTCTGAGAGGTTGTTTACTGTGTAGCAAAATGTAAACTTAAGCAGCACACTTGGAAAAAAAAATACTGTATGATGGCTGCTCTAAGAACAAAGGCTGACAGTGATTTCTCCTTATGAGTTTTAAATCATCTCTGATCTCTTGAAATTGTTTTCTGTTCTTCTTCTATCTCCTGTGTTTACAATAATCTAAACTGCCACAATAAGATCACTGAAGTATTCAGGTAGTCATCATTTATAAGACATTCTGTATTAAAATATAAGCCTTTACTCCTTTAGAGATATCCCAACCAGCACATATGAATCAAAATAGTTTAAGTAGTAGAGCCTTTTATGCAAGCATATCCTGTTGTGCTGCCTTGCTTTTTCATGAAGTGTGATTCTCTTTGTAGTTAACTGTAGGAAGTCATACTTTCTTAGGCTCATTCCACAGGAGTATGTTAGCCACAATTTGAAATCAGTCTAGATTAAATCTAAGCTGCAGCAGACTATAATTCTCTAATTTTCAAGTACTGTAAACGTACAGATTTAGCAGATGCTTACTTGCTTGTTTTATTGTATTGATGTGAAGAAACTGCTGCTGAGGAAGATCAGGATTTCTGCAACTGGCAAAAATAAAATATTATTGTCTTTATGTTTTGGGTTTTTTTTTCCATTTCCTCTTCCTCCAGATTTCTTCTCTCATTCTCCTGGCAGTATCACCCCAAGTGGTGAGGTTGGTTTTCCTCTACAGTCTGTCATGAATTCAGGAGTGCAGTAGTTCTCTTGCTTCCATTCAAGTTTTCCCTTTGGAGAGCACTAGAGATTAAGGAATAGGAATTTGCCACATATCTTGTGTTCGTTTTTAATCTGTTTTTAATCTGTTTTTGCTTCAACCACTACAAGAAGTTGGGAGCAAATCCTGGTGCCCCTGAAATCAACAGATACATTTAACTCTGATCTCAGGCAGACAAGTACTGTCCTTTAGGATATGCACAAGAATTGTGAGTTGAGAAGAGATCATGCACCCAGTAGTTCGTTGGTAACAAAATATGTCGAGTGCACTTTTAAATACGATATGCACAAGAATTGTGAGTTGAGAAGAGATCACGCACCCAGTTCCTTGGTAACAAAACATGTCGAGTGCACTTTTAAGTAGGTTAACTTTTGCTTAGTTTTGGCAGAGAGAAGATAGTTCTGTGCGTCTCATTGCTTAGGTTCAGAGGAATGTATACTCTTTGTGTAGCTGACCTGTAATTACTTGAGAATTTGATGAAACAATACAGGGATTGTTGTGGGAATGTCTCCAAATGTTAAAAGTCTGCTCTGCAAACTTTGTACCAGGGCCTTCTATAGGGAGACAAATCAATGTTGTTAGGAGATGGTACTAGTGCATTCACTTTGTTTACTTTGGTTTTCTATGTCTGCCTGCCTTCTCAGAAAACTTGCTTGGAGCCAGACTGTAGCAGCCCTCTCTCTGTCTTTTCATAATTGATCAGGGGATGACTGCCTTCCCTGAGGGTTAAGACGTGGCAACTTTTTCTGTTTGCTCAGCATCTCAATGCAGTAGTTCAAACATTGTTCACACCAGCTGGCAGTGTAATGCCATATGCACATCTTGTCAAAGCAACTGTTGTCATGGATACTAGAAACTATCTTAAAAACCAGCTCATTTGAGGCTAATCAAAATTGTACCTTTCTTTATCAGTTGAGAGTCTTTATTATTTTAGGGAACATTGATCAAATGGCATTTGTTGCAATACATTCCATCCACAGTAGGTTTTAATAACAGAAATAATACTGTGATGTATTGTAAAGCTATAACTGCTATTTATTGAGCTGATTTTTCTAAGGGGAAAAAATGAGTTCTCCAGGTAGTTTCAGTGGAAATGTTTTGAATAATGTTTTTTTGGTTTTGCCTTTTTTAAAAATTTCTAAATAAGTACCACTTTATAACACTTGACATTTAACAAATAGTTTTATAGGGAAAAATTATATAGATTAGCATTCTTCTCTTAGGTAGAATGTTTGTTTACATTTCATATGTTTAACTGTATTTGGCTGAGTTGGAATGAAAATGTAAAATAAATGAAAACATCTTCTGTTTTGATTGGTATACTGTCATCCCTGAGCCTGATCTGGTTGGTTGAGTAATAATTTCTTTGTTCTCTGATGTTCCTAAGAATGCAAATTAAAACCACTCATTTTTATTTGGCATTAAAACTGCACTCTTTTTTTTGTCAAAGGAGAGGTTTCTCCTTGAATTGTAAGTACAAAAAGTGTTTTTAATCTTCAATGAATATCCTTATTAATTCACTTTCAAGATAATCTGATGTTGATTTGTCAAATTTAATTACAGCTTCTGGTAACACTTGAAGTCTACTTGCTTTTACTTCAAATTGTAATACAAAAATGCAAATTGAATGATAATTTGCAAGGGAGTGGGCATTTTAGTTGAACACTCAAAGACAAGTTCCTTGTGGAAATGAGGCTATTGATGCAGTTTATGATTTTTCCTCTTCAAGCACTTCAAACAAATTAACTTTATTTCCTGCAGGATTTCATGTACATCCATAAATTCTAGTGAAGTCTTATATATGTACTTTCAGAATATATTTTTTAATGTTTCAAATGAAAAAAAAACCAACCCTGAACTCTGAAATCTAGCAAATACAAATCAAATAGGAGGGGATTTTGTTCATTAATTTGGACTTTTACCTAAAATTAGCAATGAGTAACTGATTTCTTTCTAGGAATTGGTTTAATTTATTTACTTTTTTTTTTTCTTTTTTTTTTCTTTTTCTTTTTTTTTTTATTTTTAGGCACTCCAGGCAGCAAGGCAGCTGCTTTTACAGCAACAGACAAGTGGACTGAAATCTCCTAAGGGCAGTGAGAAACAGAGACCGCTGCAGGTTAGTAAAGTCTCCTTGCTTTTGGGACCTTAATGTCAGGGAAGAGCGCTGAGCTCGCTGACACGTGAGGGGTGTGTGGCAGTGCCTGTCCCCAACGCCGTGTGTGTGAATATTCACATGCTGCTGGCTACAGGCTTCTTGCTGCTGACTTCACAGGGAAAATCACTGTAGGATACAAAAGCCTTTTGTGGCTGTACATGCTTAAAAGGTCTGAGACCAAGTCTGAGTTCGGTAACTGTGGTACATTAATTCTTTACAGACATGTTACAAGATTGGTATGTGATTTTTATACGTACATGGTTTAAATTGTAAAAACATGTTAAGACTAGGAGCAAAATGGTATCTGTGAAAAAAAGAGAAAAGCTAAATACCTCACAGTTACTATACCTAAGTGACAGAGAAGTGTTCAGAAACTTACCAGCACAAGTGCATGAAATTATGAAAGCTGCTTCTGACATTTTAGAAAAAAACATATGTCATGAAATGTCACATTAGGGTGTTGTTGGGCTTTAGATTGTGAATGAGTAAACAGAAGTTCTGCTATTGAATAATTATTTTAAATGCATTAGTAAAAACATAAAGAGAGTTTTATTCCTATTTATCAGTATGGTATTTTTATGAGGTGTTAATCATTTATTCCTAATGCGAAGTTCCATATCAAATTGCATTCTGCTGACAAAACTTGCTCTCTCTTGTATATAGACCAAACATGGGTGCTTAACTGCTGAATTACATTTTATAGCAGACAATTTTATTTTCTTCTGGAAATTTAAGAAAGTATAAATTCTACCATTCTCTTCCTCACATCTATTTTTCTGGGTGTTCATTTATTCTCTCAAGACTTCCCCTGTTTTCTGATGCAGTAGGGTGTTTTTATCTCATTTCTAGTTTTTGTCATGCATAATGGAGGACCCCAGGCACTAGAATGTATTTTTTTTCTCCACCAGGGAAATGTTGTGAAATTTGTTCACTTGTGCAGTTTCTGAATGTGATTCACATTGTCTCCTTTTCTTCGTGAAACTTGGTAGAGCAGTGTTGGATACAGCAAAACAGTTCCACAATCCTGATCAGCTCTCTTCAAATACACTTTTAAGGTTTTATTTATTTGCTCAGAACCAAACAAGAATTTAGGAATATGACTAAAGAAAATGGAAAAAAAGAAAGCATGACATGATGGCATCCTGCTGTAGAGTAGTTGTAGTCCATTCCTGGCTGAGGCTGAGTCCGGAGAGCCTCTCAACTTCCCGCTCTTTACCCTTGACTTTGCTTTGTAAATGCAAATTCACATTTGCTTTGTATCAAATACCTTCTGCACTGAAAGAAAGCACATGAGAACTGAAAGTTGCAAATTCACATTTGCTTTGTATCAAATACCTTCTGCACTGAAAGCACATGAGAACTGAAAGCACATGAGAAGAGTAGCCATAAAGGTAGAAGCTTATGAACTATGTGGGTTTTTAAAGTTCTTAAAGTGGAATTAGTGACCTTGAAGGGTTGAACCATGAAAATGATTGATTTAATGAATATTGTGAAAGTGCTTCATTCTTCTAGTTCCTCATTCTGAAAGATAACATGGTTTGTATAAGAGCTGTACAAGATCCATCTAGCCCTGTGTTGTGTCTCTAAATTGGCCAGCACCAGGCAATAAGGAAAGTATATGAAACAGGCATGAATAGTGGTATTTTCCCAATATACGTTTTCCATATTTTTTCTCACTTTAATCCTCCACCTTTTAAACCAGCATGGTCCAGGAGCTACTAACTTCTCTTTTCACATTCTCCACCCATTCATAAACTTTCTTTTCGATGTTAAAGAAGTCTGGGGGTGCACTGTTTGCCATAGGCATTGTTGAAATGTTAGAAAACCATGTTTGGAGGCAAAGAAAGTCATACACAGAACCCAGAGGATGATGAAGACAGGGAGTCTTGTGCTTCCATGATTTTAAAACACTAATCATGGCCTGGTGCCCTTTAAATGCTAGGGCTTGATGTGTTGGTGCTGTATCACTTGTTTCCCAGGAGGCATCAGCATCTTATGAGTCACACTTGAGAGGCAGGAAGAAGAAAATAAAGCAAATAATTTTATTTTCAGAATTGTTTCATGCTCTCTAAAGTCTAGTTTATTGCTTATGTTTCCAACTTTTTCTTTCATCATCAGTGTGTACATAGTGTCTCTTATTGGCCTTGAACACTTCATTTGGTTCATTTTTAAAGGAGAGGAAAAATGGAATTTGCTCCCACACTTTGGTTTTATGTATCAAATACTATGTAAAGCAGGTATGAGCACAAGCTACATTTTAATTGTGTTGTTTAGTGAATGGGACGTGAGTCCTTTGAGCTTTTCTATTTCTGTCTCTTACAATTCATTGTTCATCATGTAGTGGGAACTCATATTTTGATCATCATGTTGCCTCTTTGACCAAATACTGTCACAAAATTGTACTGCATTATTATTTTCTTATGGCAAATTTAATGATAACTTTAGTCAAAATCTTCTAGCAGTAGAAATTGCTAAACTTGTATAAGCTTTATAAGACAAAATTGAAGGTTATAAGGCAAAAATACTTGTGTTTGTGATTGACAAAACAGACTTCTCCCAATATTTTAAAATACTTTTAAATTAGTGCATATCTAATTTCCTCCATTTCAGAGCAATTTACTAATTGGCAACTGTGGATATGTTAAAATAGATTTATAAATCTAGTAAAAATGCAATAAAACCTTAAAAACTAGCTCACACATCTGCAAGCAAATGTAGCTATTAGGTAAGCTTTGCCATGCATCTCGTGCTCTGTAGTTTGATGTAAAGTATTCTATTGTTCCATGAGACGTAGAGGAAAAAAAATAGTAATTATTTTAGTGGCCATCTTTTTTGGGGGGAAAGTAGCATATGGTGGTTTTATGTATGTTCTCTTTGTTGTTTCATAATGCGTCAAGTATTTTAGTGACTTACAGCACCTACTAGCTAATCAGCAAGTTGAAAGCTGATTGAAGAAACCTTCAAATTTGTGTCCTCAACTTTGCAAAAAGAGGGTTTTAGGTAAGTCATCATGTTCTACTGTGCTTTACTGAGGGGATGTCTTTAGGGGAACTGCTGAAATTTTCCTAGAGTAACTTGTGTCTTTTGTATCCTCATGAAAAGCCTTTACAAATGTACCATAAGCTATGTGATCTACTGTAAAAGTGCAGAAGTTTTTGTTTTAGTTTCTAGTGCAGAAGTTACATTTACTAGTAGTTATCCTGTATTTTCAGAGACAGGAGGCTTATATTTAGATTGTGAGTTAAAAGAATACCTGCAAAAATTGCAGTTTTAGATAAGACGCTTGTCTTGATCTACTATTACTTTCATTTACATTTGTCTGGGTTTCACACTGCAGATGGCATAACCATTAGCATGTCTTATGTAAAACAGAAGAAGAAAAACATCCCTTTTGACAAGCTTGAGTACCAATTGTGGTTGTGATTTTACTTTCATGTATAGATATCTGAATAAATGTATTTGAAACATGTTTATATATGCCATTCATTACACTGGTGCACCAATTGAATGGATCCAATCAGTACATACATTGATTAATGACATATTGCAAAATAGCTATGGAGAGTTTGTGATCAGAGTTCAGGGTAATGTTAACCTGAATATGATGATATAATAGCATTTACTGTTTTACTGTGCATCCAGTAAAATATTGCTGTAGTAAGATTAAGATTTTTGTAGTACCATTTTTTGTTTCAGAATATTTTTCTTTTCTTTAGAATTGGTTGTAATGGTAATCCACAGTGAAGCTTACTAATTGCTTTCAAGGATTTCTCTCCTTATCACCAAATTTCCGTAGTAGGCATAACAGGAAAAACTGTCACCTTGGCTCTTAGAGCATGTAGTTCCTTTTCCTAGGGCAGACAGTCACTGTCCTTAGAGCCGCTGAAGAACCTGGTGTCATCTAGCATGACTTTTAATACTGGCAGCTTTATTTTCATGTAACATTTACAGTCATGAGTGAGACTTGAGGTTCTTCAAGAACTGTGAGAGCACAAGCATAACCCAAAGGTAAATGCTGTCAATTTTCTGCCATTGGTGGGTATTCGTGTACAGCATTGCAATTATTTCCCTTCCAGGTAGGCAATTTCTATGCTTAGACTAATCTGTCCATGATACACATACTGTTGTTGTCTGCATAGAATGGTGATATGCACAGTTATAATTCTATTTATTTGCCTAGTTGTTTCTATTCCCAGTAATGTCTCTAAAGGAGTAGGTTTTTTCACAGAGTCAGACTGAACCTTATGTCAATGAGAATAAATAGATAATTATCTTCAGCCCCATAGTTTAATATATCTAATGAATTGGTTAGATATTTTTTCCTTCAGGCTAGGAGATTTATCGTTTCAACATCAGTACAAATGCATTCTGTAAGAGAATGGGATGTCATGAATCATGACTCCTGGAATCAAAGGGTTAAGCTCAGTGTGTACCAAGCCAGTTGTATAAATATCATGCTGTATGGAGTGTTGAGTTGTTATGGTAAGCTTTGTTTATTTAGCATAAGCACTTCACTGAAGTGTAATAATTTGATAAAATTTGGGAAATGTATACACTTAAGTTTAATTACTTAATTTTTATTTCATTGGTGAATACCATCAGAAGAACCATTTTTCTTTAAAGACACTCAAAATGCAAAAATTTAGCATGAAAATTTATCATTAAAATATATTCACAGTCTCTTTTAACCCACTCTCCTTGCTTTACTCTCTCCTAGTTTGGTCATCTCCCTTTGGATCTTCATATGGGCCTGAGTTTAAAATTCATTGCACATAATAAATAAGCAAACATATCATTAATATTGTAACCTTTAGTTACTTTTTTTAAACATATATAAGGACTTGATGAGAGATGAGAAATAGGGAATGTGGGAAAAAAGAAGCAAACCCCACTGCTTTTAAATTATATCCTCTGATTTAATGCACTTTGACTTCAACCGTGCATGCTTAATATCAGTCAAA